ATCTAGACATTAATGAAGGCCTATGTCAAAGAGCATCTGGGTTTGATTTCTTTATTGATATCCTTATGTTTGTGTGGCTTAGACTACTATGTATAAAGTAATGTGTTTTGTGGATTTCAGTCTCAGAGATAGTCTGCAGCCATTGCAGATTTGCAATGTCCAGGACTTACTTCAGCATACCATATCTCATCGTCATGCCATAGTTTTCCCACCATGCCTTGCACTTCCCCATGTAGAAACCCTCATCTAAATTTTTCCTACTTTCTTTTATCTCCTCATTGTTAGCCACAAATTCTTGATCTTGCCTGTGAGATCCTGGCAAATAGTTGATGTGTTTCAGTTAAGGTTTTGTTATTGCAGAGTGTCTCTTTATTTTCTTAAGATTAGCCTCTGGAAAAGCATGAATCACATTAGAGCCTTTCCAGATGTAAATGGAACCTGCTTATACTCATTGACTCTCACCTTTGAGCTCAACTGGACCACACTGTTACACCTTTCTGTGTCTTTTCAGCTTTAGCCCTGTCTGTTAACCCTTGATTACCTGAGCAGTCCATATTTGAAATTCTAGGAAGAAAATGCAGCTCAACTAGAAATAGGCTTTTTGGAAAAGCTTTTAACACTAGGTGCTGGCCAGCCTTATTTCTGGCCGCTCCTAAGTTAAGTGCGTGGTCCTGGCCCAGTTATCAGGGAACAGTGCTATTTCTTTATCAAAGGCTGTCATTAGGTATATGGGCTTTTTTTTTTTTTTAATTCAATCTTGGTGGTCTAATATTATTAGGTCCTGTGGAAATATCTTTTTAATTTTTATTAGTACATGTCTGCAGTACATAATGATTACAGTCATTGTGGGGAACTGGTACATATATATATAGTACACCTCAATTCTTTTTTTTCCTCCTTGCCTTCCACCCCACCACTACTTTCTGCTAGCATCAGATTCTTCTTCTTCTTCTTCTTCTTCTTCTTCTTCTTCTTATTATTATTATTATTATTATTATATGTATTTGGTACAGGGTCTCTCTACGCAGCTCACACTCATAGTGATCCTCCTGTTTTCAGCCTCCCCAGCACTGGGATTATCAGCATGCACCACAACACCCAGAATCAGTGGCTGACTAAGCACGCCTGGGGATGGAGCTGACATGGCGTGTGGTGCAGGGATCAAACCCCAGTCCCTGTGCTTGCCTAAGCAGGCCCTTAGTCTGCTGAGCTAACTCGCCAGCCCTGTTTTCATTTATTTGTGTTAAAAATCCTTATGAAGTTAATTGTCATACATATAGTTTAACAGTCAGACTAATAGGCCCCAAAACATATAAAGATATAGGCCGGCCAGATAGCTCAGTGGATTGAAGTACCTGCTTAGGCAGACGCAGGGACCAGGGTTGGATCCCTGGTGTGCCGTGCTGGCCCTGCTCCTGGGGCTCAGTTGAAACTGGGCATGGTGGCGCATGCCTATAATCCCAGCACTGGGAGGCTGAAAATAGGATCACTTCAAGTCTGATCTGTGTAGTGAGACCCTGTAGACCCTGTACTAAATACATATAAAAAAAAAAAAAGATAATTTTACTAATCAAGAAACAAGAGTACAGGGATCAGGGATATAGCTCAGTAGCACAGTGCCTGCCTGGTGTGAGTTTGATTCCCAGTACCTAATTAATAATGATAATTATCATCATCATCATCATCATCATCATCATCATCATCATCAAGGTATATGCTGAAATACTTTGGTCATGCTATATTACAATAACTTCTTTCTCTTTTTTTATATTGTCTGTTATTTTGTATTTTATTTATAGAGTCATGTCAGAGAAATAATGTCATGAGAAACCATGTGATATTTAAGCTTATGTGTCTGATTTACTTAACAGAACCTGCACGTACATCCATTTTCCTACAAATGACTTAAATTTATCCTTCTTTATGTTAGCAAATATGCCATTGTATATAAAAACCACCTTTTCTTTGTCAGTTGACCTGTTAGTGGACATATAGGCTGATTCCAAGATCAAGTTATTATGAATTGTGCTGCTATAAATATGGTATCTGTGTATCATTGTGTAATGTCTTTAACTCTTTGAGGAAGAAGGGGAATATTCGGGTCAAATGGAATTTCTACTTGTAAATTTTTAGGAATTTCCATACTGACTTCCATAGTGGTTGTGTTGATTTACACTCCCACCAACAATGTATGGAAAAATCATCTAAAAACCACTTTTTCCCCAGTGCTTTGCTGGGATTCTCAGTATCTTGTATTGATACTATTGTACTCTTCATGTCTTCTAAATCTAGATGACAACTTTTGGGTCATCTTAACATTATTTCTGTAATCATTTTCCAGTACTAATTTCATTTTGTCTTTCCTGTTGATTCTCCATATAAAGTCCAAGTTCTGTAGTCATATATGCAGGGTATTTCATAATTGGCCTAATTTACTTTTTCTAAAATACTCTCTGCCATATGCTTAATAGAAAATTATATTATTGCCCTATAGTAGTGAAGGAAAGTTATAATAGTATTGATTATAGTGGCAAAAAAAAGAAGAAAGCAGTGTAACTGTTTCAAAGAATTACTGAATAATTGATAAATCTGTATTATTGAATAGATACAGTGTGTTAAATTTATGCTGCTTATCAAAAGTGACAGAATGAAATTTAAATTTGTATAAAACTGAAAGGGACTTTAAAGATAATGTGTACCTAGGAAGTTCAAGAGATCTGACTTACTACATGACTAGCTGCAGTTGCATTGAACAGTATCGTCTGGAGATGGTGTTCTCTCTGGTTTTTGGTTCTCCTTTCTTCATGTGGCTTTATTCTTAAGATGTCCCCAGCTGTAGCAACAGTGGTTTGTGTTCTAGCTTAATAACTCCTATGAAAAACACCTCTGTCCCAATAGTTTGAGAAGAAATGGTTGATCTTACTGGCCTAGCTAGGTCACATGCCAGTTTTTGAGGCAGCCACTGTAGCAAGGGGAGGAGTACAAGTAAAATTTCTTAAGAATATGTAGGCCTCGGGGCCAGGGAGATGGCTCAGTAGGATAAACGCATGACTGGCAAACGCAAGAATATGTAGGCCTAAATTATGTGCCCACTCTGGAACCTGAATTGTGTGAACTGAAAGGCCAGTATGAGGGCAGGGTTTCCCAAAGGAGAATTGGATTGCTTATACAAAAGGTGGAAACATGGATGCTGGGCAGATAGGAATGGCAGATGTTCTCTACATGCAGCTTTTAAAAGACCCAATAGGGGCAGGGGAGATAGCTAGTGGTCCAGTACATGCCTGGCAAGCGCAAGGACCCAGGTTTGATCCCTGGTACCATGCCATGCCAGCCGCATGCCAATCTGGCCACTGAAACCAGGTGTGGTGGTGCATGCCTGTAATCCCAATGCTGGGGAATCTGAGGCAGGAGGGTCACTGTGAGTCTCAGCTGCATAGTGAGACCCTGTACCAAATAAATAAATGATTTTTTTTTAAACTTCTTTAAAAAAAAAAAAAAAAAAGACCCGGTAGTGGCAGGAGATGTAGCTTAGTGGAACAGTACTTGCCTAGAGAGTTTGAGGCCTTGTTATCAGCCCCCATTACCGCAAGTAAATAAATAAAGCTCACATTGCTTCTCTCAGGGTAGTAAGTATGTGCTAGAAGGAGAAGGTAGGCAACCAATTATAGTTCTGACACTTGTGTCTATGTTGTTTAAGTTCCTGCCAGCAGAATGTATTATATTTGCAAGAATAATTAAAAATTCAAAATCTAAAGGTTACAATGAAGAGCTTTTCTTTTGGAATACTTGAAAAAAACAATTAGTATTTGTTAGTAATAATAATAGCAAGCTGAGGGCAGTGCATACCTGTAATCCTAGCACTTGGGAGGCTGAAGCAAGAGGATTCCCATGAAGTCAAGGCCAGCCTGGGTTACATAGTGAGTCTGAGGCCAGCTTGACTACATAGAGAGACCCTATCTCAAAAATAAAAACAAAATAATGATAATAGCTCACATTTCCTGGATGCTTTCTCTATGTCAGGAAAACTGTGCATGTTATATAAATTCTCATGTAATTCTCAGTAACTTTAACTCAAGCATAGCTATCAAAGCTGGAGAATTCAACCTATTCCAGGCCCCACTGCCTGCCAAATCAGTCTCAGGCAAGAGCTATTCTGTGTATTCAAAGGTACCTCAGATGCTTCATTTGTAGTCAGTCAGTTTATTGTTGAAGTTTGTTTGGGAGTCCTGCTGAGTCATGTCCTTAACCCCAGGTAGCATGCTAATGAAAATCAGAACCGGTGGCCCACTTGGAAGGCTGAGGCAGAAGGATCACTCTGAATTTGAGGTATGACCTACATAGTTGGAAGCCAGTCTAAACTACATAATGAGAGTCTGTCTCCAAAAACAAAACAAAGAATAAGAACGAGGAGTCAAGGTGTCAAAACTAGATCTGAGCCTAAGCCAAAGCTCCTAATAACTGCACTATTAATAATACAGTCTCTTAGGTACTAAGACTTTTGGGTTAAATCATCCTTTGTAGATAAGCGTGAAAATCTCACCAACAGTTATGAGACATGACATTTCTGCGGGGGGAAATGAGTTCTGAATTCCAAAGACCTGATTTACAAATGACCCTATGAAATATATGACAGAATTTACTCAAAGTGAAATAATCTTACGATTGGGAATTACACAGTTTAACAGTGTTGGCTTTTTTTTTTTTTTTTTTTTGTGTGGAACCAGGAATTGAACTCAGGCCCTTGCCCTTGCCAGGGAAGCACTTATTCCACTGAGCCACCTCCCTGGCCCCAAAATATGTTAATACAGAAGGATGTGTTGTTGTGTCCTTATTACGCCAGCACTTTCTGTGCTATAACCAAAGCATCACACCCTGTGCCATTCTTTGTCCCCCCCATAGCCTACCCCTTGGGTTAAATGATGCCTGTGCAATTGTTCTCTTACGCTTTTAATATAAACATCTGAGTTTTAGGTTTGTAAACATTTAAAAGGCACATGTGATATTTTGCTTACTTTGGCATTTAATAGGGTGGTACACACTTTGTCTTTTTAAAAGAAGATTATTATCATTTTAAGGTAACATTTAAACTTACACACAGAGTTTGCAATCAAGTGAATTATACTAGAATACTGATAATTCAAGTAGTAAATAATTTACTCTCCTGGTGTGCTTATTGTTCAGCAGATAATAGAGCTGAGATTAGAAATGCAGATAGTTCAAGTTGGTTTCAGTCTGAGTATACAGAAAACAGCAAAAATAGTACATAGGAAAGAAAATGAATGCTAAGCTTTGGATTGAGTGTTGTGCTGCCATTTGTCACAGTCTTTGTAGTCATATTTTTGGCTATCTCTGAGGTCACTGTTGATTGCAGAGTTTTCTTGAAACTTGGAGTTGTCATGGAAGTCAGAGTTGTCCTGGTTGTCACTGATGTTGTGAGATTTGGCCTTTCAGATTTGGAGGTAGAACTTGCCTTTGTTCCAAGAGTTAGGCTTATTGTGGAATTCAGGTGGATGCTGGTACTGGAGACATCTGGAGACTTTGAGGTCGTTGTTGAAATTGTTCCCAGAATGTGAACAGAACTGAGGAGCAGACTGACGATGAATGATAGCTTGAACATCATTTTCCTCTGCTTTAAAACAATTATGTAAATTTAATCTAACATTTGGATCACAAATAGGTAAGCATGTATCCTTAAGTATGTTTACTTAGAACATTCATGTTAGGTAAATGTGTCTTTTCATTGTTGTTAGAGAGCAGATAAGCTTCTCAATATCTGCTAAATATCAGATGTATTTTCCTCCTCAGGTCACAAATTTAAGGCATCAACAATTTAAAAACTAAAATAGGCCTTAACTTGGTTTTTCTACTTTAATAAAAAGAAAAAAAAATAATATTTATCCAATAAGTATAGGGCATGAGATCAATATATAGAATTGGGTAAGGACAAATGATGGGCAGTTTTGGAGAGCAGAGCAACAAAATGACTAGTGAAACAAATACTGATATTTTCTTTAACTTTTTTGTGACTTTATTCCAACAATTTAAGAGTTAAGCTTAGATCATAAATTATTACTTCTGAATGTTTATAGCATAGATTAAAGAAATTAAATGATTTTCCTATTGCTGGGGTTTCCTTCATTTTCTCTCTTTAAAACAGCTTTTAGTGAATGTCATAACTTCTAAAATAGAAATTTGAAATTGATCAAAATCAACCCCTTCATTATATAATCAAGCAGATACCAAGCTTACACTTTCCATGAGGGTACATATCCAGATTAGACCAGAACTAGAGCTTGAGTCTGAGTTTGATCTAATGTTCTTTTCTAGATGTGGACTGTAAAGACAGTTTATTAACATAGTAAACTAGGTTTAAAATAAGTCTTAATTTTCTTTCAGTCTGTATTCAGCTCTAACGACTTGCCACATCTAAGATAATTTAACTGGTACATGCTTGACATGAGTAAACGTAATTTTTAACTTAAAAGCTCAAAGTTTAAATTCAGACATATACTATAAGTTACATCTGGCTCCAATATGTACTTGAGAAAATTTCATATTATTATTACCTTTTGGTTTTGAAGATTGAAAATTCGGCCTTTCACTAGTCTTGTAGAGAATCAGATTCTGACCAGGAATTTAATTTTCACTCACTGTGTTGCTATTTAAATATAATTAGTGAGGAAGTCACGTGTTTTAAACTTGACCTGCCATTTGCTCTTTGTAGTTAACCAACTGAATGTTTTCCAGACAACTGGCATAAACTGGACTTTGGCAGAGATTAAGGAATTCAAATACAGTCTTTTTAAAAATCTAGTCACTTCTTTAAAAATCCTAGCAAGTAGCGTTTTGTTATTCCTCTTATCTACAGATTATATATAATACTTTTTTTTGCTGGGCTAACCCTGCTTGGATAAATACATTTTTTAGCCAGGTGTAATTATCATGACTGAAAATCATGTAAATGTGTTCAAAATAGGTACTCTTTCGTTTTCCATGAAAAACATCCATGTTATGTTTAGAGGGTAGTTTCTAGCCACGGATATTTTGAAGTTCAAAAAATAATTTAAGAATATTACATTCTAGGCATTTACTGTTTGGTAAATAAAGTGGTATTTAAGAACAAAAGTAAATTGTATTTATATGAATTTAAAAATTACATATGAAAGTGATAATTTCATGCTAAGTTTTCAAAGATGTGTTGGTATTGTTTTATTCTTTAATAAGCCACCCAACTTAAAGATATTAAGTAAATTCTTTAAAGGAATTTTGTGTTTCTTTCCTTGATACCCAGCACACAAGGAAGTTAAATTGTGTTTGTACTGTTTTCAAAAACGTTGGCCAGAACTTTCTAAGTGTTGCGTGGCTGTGGACAATGTTGTTAGCATACAAGGAAATTGCTACATGAATGGCAAAAGTACAAGTCAGTACATGTTCCTCACTTGTTTTACTTGGCTATGAAGATTCCTTTCTCTGAACGAATGAATAGGTGCAAGCTAAACCTTAAAGTATTTAACCCATGTAATAACCTCACTTAGCTAGAGATTAGTGTGGTCATACCTAAGAAATAAAGAAGCCTCTTGGCAACCCAGAAGTAATACTATAAATGAGAGTTCTGAAATAAAGCATGAGAATGTGGTACTGTGCTTTTTCTTTACTCCTTTCTTCCTGTTAGGGATTGTGGTAACAGCTGATAGTAGTAGTAATATTTTTGCCTGGAGCTGTGACTTATTTTGATTGTCTGATTCTTACCTTTCATGTACTAGATTTATGCAACTCTTTATTGTGCCTCAAATATCTCTCCTTCTTTAAAATTATTTTCTTACTCCTGTTCTCAGATACAGATGTATTCTTCTCATAATCTCTCAGTTATGTCATCACCTATCCAAATGGCTCTCCAACCTTGTATTTTTAATTATCTTCTTTCTTACTGATCTTAAGCTCCCTAGGTCTTGATAATGATTAAGTAAAACTTAAACTTCTGAAGTTTCCAGCATTCCTATGCTACCAAACAGAAATCATTTACCATTGTCTAGGCCTTTAAAGATACCATGTTGTATCTTTGTGCAGCCTTCTTCTTCTGCCCAAAGTTCTTCCTTTCCTTGTTCAAAATGCTTTCCTTCCATCAAGGTGTAATTCTGCTGTCAGTATCTCATAAGTGAGCCTTTCCTAATTCTGCATTTCAGAATCAGTCATTTTAGGGCTTTCTCAAATATGTGTTTCACTATATTCTGGCATTCTGATAGTTAGACATTACCTCTTATTCTTTGTATTCCTTTATATGTTCTAGCATAGTGAGCACTTACAAAGTGTAGGATATAATAAATTAAATTTCATTGAAAAAACTCCAGTTTCTTCATGTCTGAGGGCTGATATCACTAATAATGCCTAACATAAGAGACATTTGGTCATTTCCCTGTATCATAAACAAATTTGCAAATCATAAGCCTACATCTCAAATCCCATCTCTACTTCCTGGCTCCTGTGTCAATCACATACACATTCAATATCCATTATCTACACTTCTGAAATTGCAGAGCCTCTGAAAAACTAAAGTTGTGTCTAAATAAGTTTGGCACCGAATTTTATTGGAACACTCTATGCTTGGATTGGTGTGAGGGTTTTCACTCTTTATTCTTATAATGTTTATTTGTTGCGTAGTGCACATATTGTTTCACTGGAAACAGTACTTCACTAGAGAAGTATAAATGCAGTTGATTATGAGATGCTATCTCAGTTTCCCTTGGGGTCTTACATACTACATAAAAAAGGACGTACTTAGCATATTTCTGTTTCCCATTACTCGTTGAGGCACATCACTGTACTACACAGCCTTATAGTTAGTAAGGCCTTGTTACTGAGTTCTGGTCAGTAGGATGTAGGTTCCAGTGATATTTATCCTGTCTAGGCCTGGTGTCATGTAACTTTGCGCTAGTCATCCATTTTTACTTTCTTGCTTTCTTTCATCGCTGCCTACTAGAAACAAAAGGTTCAGCAGAGGGATCCCTAAGACTCTAGAAGATGGTAGAATCAGCTTTGGTGGTGCATTCCTGTAATCCCAGCACTCGAGAGGCTGAGATAGGAGGATCACTGCAAATACAAGACCAGTCTGGATTACATAGTCCCTATTTTAAAAGGTAGAATCACTAGGCCACATAATGTAAGTGCAAAATAAATTTTTATCTTAGCTGATGATACTTTGGCATTACCTGCGACAGAAATTAGTCTGTGTTGACTAATACAGCTATTGCTGGATATCTGCCTTTGTGTCTCCAAATCTGCTATTTTCCATCTCTCAAGAAACTGATATGTTTAAAGGGTATTTTAAAATTTTATTTATTTATTTATTATTTGGTACAGGGTCTCGCTATGCAGCTCAGCCTCATAATGATCCTCCTGTCTCAGCCTCCCTAGTGATGGATTACAGGCATGTGCCACCATGCCCGGTTTCAGTGGCCAGCTCATTGGCATGGCATGTGGTGCCGCAGATCGATCCCGAGTCCTTGTGCTTGCCAGGCAGACACTTAGACCACTGAGCTAGCTCCCTGGCCTGTATAAAGAGTATTATTGGGCTTCCGTTTTCTGAATTCCAGTTGACCTATAGGAAATACAAGCAGATTTAAGAGGAGAAAGATGAAAGCTGGGCATGGTGGCACATGCCTATAATCTCAGTATGTGGGAAGATTGTGAGTTCAGCCTGAACTACATAGCGAGACCCTATCACAAAAAGAAAAAAAAAGTTGAAGTACATATTCTCTAGGTTCCTTTCCTTTCTAGGCACTGTGAGGTGACTGCATTCATCCATGAAGATTATGGTTGTCGTCTGTGTTTGCTTTCTGGTAATTACTCTTGTGGCAGAAAAAGCCCCCATCGCCCAGCCACTTAGTTGCTCAAGTACTAACTAGTTCTTGTTCCAGATCTGATTGATTCTGTCATTTAGAAAGTTCTGGTCACTGTTCTGCATCGCTGCTCACTGTGATGCACACCATTCTGCCTCTGGACTTCCTCCTTGCTTATCTCATAGAAGCTCTAGACTACCAAATATCAGGGCCTGATACTCTAGGAATGATCCCAATTAGTGCCTGTTAATGTAAATAAATCTGCCTCCAGATTTATTGGGTGTTGTTTCAGTGTTACTGCTTACTGCTGCATTCTCTCCCCACTCCTATTTCAGACATAGTATTTCACTGTCTTCTATACTTTACTTAAACCCTGCCTTCTCTTTTATACATAATCACTTATGTCCCAGCATAAGTGTACCTGCTGGAATCCTAACTTCTGTAAACAGATTATATGCACTGTTGTCTTTCTAAAATCTGAGCAATTCTGAATTCAGAAATATATATTTCCTTGAGAGTTTCAAATAAGAGATTATAGTTATACCACATCTGTTGATTTATTGTATTAATTATAATATTTCTGTGGCATTTATGAAAATGCTGACCACATACTAAATTATTTGTTACCATGATTTGTCATAGAAATCTGGTAAAGCTAGATTTCTTACATTTTTAGAACTGAGATTTGGAAACTATTAAGCAGTTGTAAGGGGAGATAGCTCGGCAGTTTAAGCACCTGCCTGTCAAGCGCAAGGACCCAGGTTCAATCCTGGTAGCATGCCATGCCAGCCACCAAAACCATACATGGTGGTGCACTCCTGTAAGCCCAGTGCTGGGGAGGCTGAGACAGGAGACTCATTATGAGTCTGAGCAAGACCCTGTATCAAATTAATTAATTAAAAAATAAAGATAAATAAGAACAGTGTCTTTGATTATTTAAATCTCCTTCAAATGACCCATTTTGACATTTCTAGAGATCTTTTTATCTGCCTTTACATACAATTATTCCAAAACTTCTAAGAAAATGGAGAAAAATAATTCAGTTAACAGAATCATCAGAATGATCATGAACCTGTTTAAAGAATTGTTTAGCTTTTTGAGACAGTGTCTTGCTGTGTAGCCCAGGCTGACCTGGAACTCATTATGTAGTTTAGGCTGACCTTGTACTCTGGTTGAGGTCAGGTGCTACCATGCCCTGCTTTGATTTGAATGCTTCCTTTTTTTTTTTCCTCTCTCTTTGTTTATTTGGGGATTTTTATGTATTTTTTTTATTTTGGCACAGTCTCACTACGCAGCTTGACTCATAGAGATCCTCCAGGTTTGCGCCTCCCTAGTGCTGGGATTATGGGCGTGCTCCACTATGCCTGGACTTGTTCACCAGCTCAGCAAACCCTCATAGCAGTTCTGGCTCCTCATGTGGGACTGGGAATTGAACCCTGGTCCTTGCGCTTGCCAAAGCAGGTGCTTAGTCTGCTAAGGAATCTTGCTGGCCCTGGAAGCTTCCTGAGAAATGCAAAAAGGCAACCAATTGTTGTGTGAGACTTAAACCTGATAACCTATTACAGAAAGTGTCATTTTCTTCTATAATAAAATAGCTTCATTTCAGAAATCTCATACAGGAAAAGAAACATCTCTTAGTTACAAAACACAAGTTCTAAGGCAAGCGCCCATCTTTGAGCAAGCTTCTTTTCTAATGGTGTAATATTGTAAGTAACTTGCATGATTTTAGGTTGTTACTTATTTTTTATAGTCAAAAATAACTTTAAGAAGATGCTGTCTTCCTTTCTGTTTTCTTACCTAGATATCCTCATCTTCCTTG